CTCCAGAACTGTGAGAATTAGATTTCTGTTGTTGACAACACCCATTTTATGGTATTTTCTATAGCAGCCTGAGCTAAGATATAATACTAACTTTATTTTCTTGGTCAAACCTCTGTGGCATTTAGACAATAGCTATCAAAGTAAAAATGTGTACCTTTTTGACCCTAAGCTTTCACTTTGGGGAATTTATTACAGATATACCTAAATATGCTATAAAAATATTTACAGGGATATGTTTTATAACATTGTTTGTAATAAAAAGATTTGCAACACTCTAAATGTCCATCTATGTAAGATTCATTAAATTTTGCTAACTTCAGATAATGAATTCTATAATTGTTAAAGAAACATTGAGTCAATTCTGAGACAAATGTCCAAGATGTATAAGTGAAAAATGTAAGCTTAGAACAATGCATACAATATGCCATCACGTGTGTAAAAATATTTAAAAAGGAAAACGTGTATATTTCCATTTGCACATAATATCTCTGAAAGAATATATACACACAAAGATAACTGATAATTTAGCTGCCTCTATGGAAGGAAACTGGATGGGAGATACAAGTGGGGGACAGTCTATTTTCTTACTGTAATTACGTTTTCACTTTTCGAATTTTATACCAAATATATGTATTATCTATTAAAACTGAGTTGTATTTTATAGCTAACTTGCTGAAGAGATGGATTTTTACAAATGAATGGAGATGGAGAAGTGGACTGAATTTAGTTTACAAGAATATGTACTGTTCTGTTGAGGAAAGTGGCTGTGAAGAGCTATGAGGAAATCAGGAGACTCGCAGAACCAGACTTGGTATAAAGGAGGAATTTGCTTTTAGTTTCGGTTTTTGAATGACAGAAGATATGGCAACATTCTTAAGGACTACAGGGGTAGAGGAGGCTGAGAAAAAGAGTGAGGGAGAAAATAAGTATATTCCTGGAATATGATTGTATCAGCTAGAAACTGCATTTAGCTGCATGTATCAGACATGAGACAACAGGGTTTCAACCAGATGGAGGCTTATTTTTCACTCATGTAACACAAAGTATAGAGATAGGCAGCCTCCACATTGTCATCTACGCTCCAGGCCTTTTATCTTTTCATTGTATCACTCTTAGCATATTCTCAAGGTCACAACATGATTGCAGAATAACCAGTAAGGGGTAAGAACAAATGGGGAAAAGAAGAACATTCCTGAAAAGCCAAGGAGCCTGAATTAAAGAGTTTCCCCAAAAACCCTCCCCAGTTACTTCCTCTTACATCTCACTGCCTCTCCTCCCACAGGGACCGGGCAATGTCAGTCTGTAGTTGGGCACGTTGCTGCCTAATAGGGCAGAGGGCTTTTCCTAAGGAAGTCAGGGTAGGAAACTATCAAGGGTAGGAAAAATAGGTACTTTCCTCCACTACAATTTCAGGGATTAGATAACATCCCAATCTAGCCCCAAAACACTGGCCTCTTAGTTTGCCTTAGAGACTTGAAGACCTCACCATTAGAATTTTTACTGAGAGTTAAGTTTTGTCCTTAGAAAATTGGGAGTAAGATGAATATTACTAAGTTGGAGGCGAGAGTTAACATTTATGTAAACATTAAACCCAAACGCTGTAACACAAAGACAACATGATTTGTAGCTTCCTGCAAGTAGAGCTAGACTGGGGCGCAGTACTTTTGAGTTCCTCTTGTGAAATCTCTGACCTGGAGCAAGCTACTCTCATTTCCTGGGTTTCAATTTCCTTGCCCCCAAAATGGAACACTTCGTCTCGATTAACTCTAAGGATCCCTCTATCTCTAAAGTTTTATTAATCACTTTATTGGATTGGCTAATTTCCTTCTAGAAGTAATGGAAATTGGTGACCCAGTGGATCCCATGGCAAATTGAAGCTTCATACAAACTGGGAGGATGAGGTGGGCGCTCACATGCAGGGGCTGCCAAGAGAGCAGCAAGCATGGAAAGCAGCACCAGAATGAGGGCCTGGTCAACTAGAAAACAGCAGGGACCCCGCTGAGTTAAATGACTGCAGAAAACCCAGAGTAGTACTATAAAGACATGGGGACCGCCAGAGAAAGAACTGGATTCAGAGTGACTTGGTAATACACACACACACACACACACACACACACACACATATATACATACATGCATATAAGTATCAGATAACAGTAGAATCAGAATGACATCCATGTTTGTCAAGCAGCCACCAAGTGTTTGCTTAAAGATAAAAACACTTTCAGGTGTTAACTGGCTCCATAAGAACAGCATCGCAATCTCCAAGATTTTGCTTTGGTTCCAGCAAAGCTGAATTTATGAGGCATCCAGGTATTTAAATGAAATCATGGCTCTAAGTGATTAAATGCAGAAGAGTAAAATGATGCTATGTAAATACACTCGCAGTATAATGATATGTGAATTCACATGAATAGGGAAGCCTCCATGTCACGTGTCCCCAAGCTCTGAAGCAGGCTCTGCGGACAGTGAAGCTCTCTGCACAGACACCCACCCACCACCAACCCCACCAGGTCAAGCACAAACTGGCTAGATGTTTCCATTGTTATTCAAAACTGGTTATCAGGAACAGTTGAACCTCTAAATGAAGCTCACAGCAAGTACAAACTATAAAAAGCATTCATTTGTCACTAACAGAATATGAACAGGTTTAGTGCATCTACTTTTCCACACTTCAAGTTTTCAAATGAGACTGAGGCGATTATCAAGGGATTTTGCAGGAAGATAACTTTCCCTCTAAACCTTTTCATCCAGGCGTGATACACAAATGTGCAATATATCTTTTCTATAATTAAGTAAACGGTTCCCCTGCTTCATAGATCCTCGGCAACAAACGACACCTACATGATCTTTCTGGAGGGGGAAAATATGAGGATTTATCTGTGACCAAGCAAACACCTAGGAAATGGATATTTTAATTGATTGTTCTCGTAGTAGAATAATTGAGAAAATTCTTTATCACGTTTTTTTCTTTACAAACCCCTTTAATCATTGAATTCTAGCTATACTGTTTTGAATTCTAGGTATACATTTTGTTACTTTGTCATCTTGCCACAAGAAAAAAGGTCTGCCTGGGGACAGACTAAACTGTTTAATCAAAAGGGAATATGACGTGCCTGAAGGAAAAGAATATTAAATATATATATATGTATATGTACATATATATATGTACATATACATATATATATGCACACATACATACTTCTTTAGTAACGCTACCAGGAGAAGATACTAGTTCTGACAATGCTTTCAAATGCAATACAGGATATCTAAAATAAGATCGAAGACCGTGCCAGATTGTTATATATAACAGTCTTTCAGTTCCGTTTGCAATCAGCTTCTGAGAACGTATCATCTGCCAGAGCTGACTGTGAAACTGGGACACAGAAATCATGCTCTGCCTTCAGTGAGATCCTAATCTAATAGTGCAGATGTGTAAACTAAGAAAAATCTTAGTAGACTATGAGATTGCAAAAAATAGCCCACATATGTGTAAATGATTCATTCTAATTGGTAGATGGTAAGTGAATCAGAATTATTTGTAAAGGATCTAATGGAGTTCAACATCAGAGGAGGGGGGAGAGAGGAAAGGAATTCCCAGCAGTGAGAACATCATACGCAAAATCATGAAGGTGTGATCATCATCATGCTTTCAAGGACCAATAACTAAGTACTGCCAAAAGGTAAAATGTTGGGTGTAGTGATAGGAGATCAGGACTGGTCAAATTAAGACTTAGGTCAGGGCTTCCCTGGTGGTGCAGTGGTTGAGAGTCCGCCTGCCGATGCAGGGGACGCAGGTTCGTGCCCCGGACCGGGAAGATCCCACATGCCGCGGAGCACCTGGGCCCATGAGCCATGGCCACTGGGCCTGTGCGTCCGGAGCCTGGGCTCCGCAACGGGAGACGCCGCAGTGGTGAGAGGCCCACGTACCGCAAAAAAAAAGACTTAGGTCAAATTAAGACAAATCTTAAACTTTAAAGTAGGTAGGATTTTGGAGTTTACCTTGAGAGAAATGAGGCCCTTTTAATGAGTTTTCAGCAGAGGAACAGTAAGATCCTCTGCTGCTGAGGAGAGGAAAAGTAGTTGCAAATATGTAAGGGCCTGATTCGAGGCCAGAAGGCTAATGGGCAGTCATATTACAGCTTCCGAACTAGGGTCTCCAAAATTTCTCGAATTTTACCTCTGCGTTAATTTCATTTTGTAAAATACATTTGGTTCAAAGAGCAAAAATGCTAGACTGAAAGGGTATATGGCAAAATTTCCTAGCCACTCTTGTCCATAGGCCACCCAGGCTCCTTCCCTGCAGATAACCAATATGACTCATTTTTGCCTGTTCTTCCAGAGATATTTATGCACAAACACTTAATTCCTCAACCCCATTTTATTTTACACAAATAGGTGCATATTCAACATACTGTTCTGCATTTTCGTTTCTTCACTTAACAACCTCTCGGAGATATTTCTATATTCATGCACAAAAACACCCTCAATTTTTAACTACTGCATATACTTTCCAGTGTGTATATAACCTGTAATTTAACCAGTCTCCTGTTAAAGGATAGATTGTTTCAGTGCTGCAATAAATATACTTGCATATGTTTTATTTTGCACATGAACAATTATATCTAAAGGATTCCACTGCCATCATCCATTGCTGTGTAATAAACTACCTGAAAACTTAGTAGCCTTAACCAACAATTCTTGCTATATCTCACAATTCTGTGGGTCAGGAATTAGAAATCACTTGGCTGGGAGATTCTTCTGTTCCATGAGGCATCAAAAGAGGTCCTTTTTCTTATTCAGCCTGTTGGATAGGTTGGTTGGATGGTCCAACATGCCTCAATCACACATCTAGCACCTTGGCAGTGATACTTGGAACGCGGCACTTAACAGGAATAACTGCCTAGAGCTTCACATGACTCCTCCAACATGGTTTGAACTCAGGGTTATTGAACTTCTTACACGGAGTCTTGGGACTTCCAAAAAGATAGTTAACTCACCTTCGTCCTAGCCCTGCCAGGTAGCATTGTCTTGAAGTTGAGGTTATTGTCATCCATGTCAGGTCCAAGTACAGGTCATACTTCTCAGTGCAGTAACTTGAGTATGGTTCTCCTTGATCTGATAACTTGTGAAACTAAAAAAAAAAAAACAGTTATCTGGCATTCTTACACTACCCCCTCCCAAACACACACATACACCCAATGACAATACAGAGACCAAATAATTGCACTGGACACTCTCATTCAAAACTGGTAGAAAAGGCAATAACAAAAAATGTAATCTAATTAAAATATTGGCAAATGACCTAAATAGATAACTTTCCAAAGAAGATATACAGACAGCCAACAGCTACATGAAAAGGTGCTCAACATCACTAGTCATCAGGGAAATGCAAATCAAAACCACAATGAGATGTCACGTCACACTCCTTAGAATGGCTGTCATCAAAAAGACAAGAGATAAACAAGTGTTGACAAGGATATGAAGAAAAGGAAACCCTTGTACACTGTTGGGGAGAATTTAAATTGGTGCAGCCACTATGGAAAACAGTATGGAGGCTCCTCAAAATATTAAAAATATTTAGAACCACCATATGACCCAGCAATCCCACTTCTGGTTATATATCCAAAGGAAATGAAAGCAGGGTATCAAAGGGATATTTGCACTCCCATGTCAACTGCAGCATTATTTACAATAGTCAAGACATGGAAACACCTAAGGGTCCATCAGAAGATGAACAGACAGAAGAATGTGGTATGTGTGTGTGTGTGTGTGTGTGTATATAAATATATACAGGAACACCATTCAGCCATAAAAAAATTCTTGCCACTTGTGACAACATAAATGAAACTTGACAACATTATACTAAGTGAAAATAAGTCAGACAGAGAAAGACAGATACTATATGATCTCACTTATGCAGGCACTCTTAGAAAATGAAACTCATATAAACAGCAGATTGGTGATTGCCAGGGCCTAGGGGTTGGGAGAAATGGGTGATGGTGGTCATCAACTTCCAATTTTAAGATGAATAAGTTCTGGAGATGTAATGTACAGCATGGTGAATACAGTTAACAATATTGTATTGTATACTCGTAAGTGGCTAAAAGATCTTAAATATTCTCACTACAAAAATAAAGGTAACTATGTGAGCTGATTAATGGATTTATTAATTAGCTTTATTGTGGTGATCATTTCATAATTTTTACATATATCAAATAATCACATTATAGACCTTAAATTTGTACAGTGTTATATGTCAAATATATCTCAATAAAGCTGGGAAAAAAAGTGGGGGAAAAGGAAAGCATATGTTGCCATTGTCTTGATTAGGGGCCAGTCCTATTTTGTAGAAATGTTCTCTGTGACACTTGGCTTCACCCTCTAGGTCCTGGGAACTCCCCTCTTAGTCATCTTTTATTTTCCATAATAAATAATCCATTTTGCTTCTTGACCTTTTCATCTTTCTTTCTGCTCTTAGCTGAGGACTCATAGTTTTTGTTTTGTTTGAAATATTTCTGTCCCTTTTATTCCAAGTTGATGGTACTAATATAATTACCGTATAAACTTTGTAGAATTCCTATGAATCTTAGTAAATTTCTCTATATTAGATTAAAACCATATCACAAATATCTCAAGATAGGTTCTCTTGGGCTTGGGATAAGGGTCCAGATGCTATGGGAAAATGGCTTTAAATTTCCTAGAAGGTGTTTTGTCTAGCTGAAAGCTTCTTTGAGACATGCCCTTAAATATTTATAGCACCTTAATGAAGAGTCTTATATGCATATCCTTGATATGATCTTTACCCTATAGTAATTTCTTAATTTGAGAGCCTTTTAGAGAAACTGGAAATGAGAAATACTTATTTTCAAATCACTACTACTCTGTATTTTCTCTAAATTTTTCTTGAAAACTGATTTTCTCCTTCTGTAGCTCATTTCCCCTCTATCCATGCTTTATTATATAGGGCTAAAAAATGGTGCCAAGGTATCGGCAGGGCCTCACTCCCTCTGGAAGCTCTAAGGGAGAACCCAATCTGAGAGCTTCCTTCCTTTCTTAGAATGGTAGTTGCTAGCTTCCTTGGCTTGTGGTCACGTCACTCCAATCTCTGGCATCATCTTCCCATTGTCTTCTTCTCTGTGCATCTGTATCTTCTCTTCTGTTTCTTATAAAGATGCTTGTCACTGAATATATGACCCACATGGATAATCCAAGATAATTTTATCTCAGGACCCTTAATTAAATTGCATGTGCAAAGATTCCTGTTTCCAAATAAGGTGACATTCCTAGGAACTAGAGATTAGAACATGGACATATCTTTTGGGGCGTTACCATTCAACCCACTACATCATTCAGTGGGGGAAGGAGAAGTCTTTTCAACAAATGGTGCTGGGAAAACTGCATATCCACACATTAAGAATGAATATGGGGGCACCTCTTCCGGGAAGACGGCAGAAGAGTAAGACCCGGAGATCACCTTCCTCCCCACAGATACATCAGAAATACATCTACACGTGGAACAACTCCTACAGAACACTTACTGAACACTGGCAGAAGACCTCAGACCTCCCAAAAGGCAAGAAACACCCCACGTACCTGGGTAGGGCAAAAGAAAAAAGAATAAACAGAAACAAGGAATAGGGACGGGACCTGCACCACTGGGAGGGAGCTGAGAAGGAGGAAAGGTTTCCACACAATAAGAAGCCCTTTCGCGGGCGGAGACTGCGGGGGGCGGAGGGGGGAAGCTTCGGAGCCACAGAGGAGAGCACAGCAACAGGGGTGAGGGGGGCAAAGCGGAGAGATTCCTGCACAGAGGATCGGTGCTGACCGGCACTCACCAGCCTGAGAGGCTTGTCTGCTCACCCGCCAGGGTAGGCGGGGCTGGGAGCTGAGGCTCGGGCTTCGGTCGCAGCGTCGGGAGAGGACTGGGGTTGGCGGCGTGAACACAGCCTGCAGGGGGTTACTGCACCACAGCTAGCCGGGAGGGAGTCCGGGGAAAAGTCTGGACCTGCCGAAGAGGCAAGAGACTTTTTCTTCCCTCTTTGTTTCCTGGTGCCCGAGGAGAGGGGATTAAGAGCGCTGCTTAAAGGAGCTCCAGAGACGGGCTCGAGCCGCGGCTAAAAGCGCGGACCCCAGAGACGGGCATGAGACACTAAGGCTGCTGCTGCCGCCACCAAGAAGCCTGTGCGCGAGCACAGGTTACCATCCACACCCCACTTCTGGGGAGCTTGTCCAGCCCGCCACTGCCAGGGGGCCGTGATCCAGGGCAGGAGAACGCACGGCGCGCCTCAGGCTGGTGCAACGTCATGCAGGCCTCTGCAGCCGCAGGCCCGCCCCGCACTCTGTGCCCCTCCTTCCCCCGGCCTGAGTGAGCCAGAGCCCTCGAATCAGCGGCTCCTTTAACCCCGTCCTGTCTGAGCAAAGAACAGACGCCCTCCCGCGACCTACACGCAGAGGCGGGGCCAAATCCAAAGCTGGGCCCCTGGGAGCTGTGAGAACAAAGAAAAGAAAGGGAAATCTCTCCCAGCAGCCTCAGAAGCAGCGGATTAAAGCTCCACAATCAACTTGATGTACCCTGCAGCTGTGGAATACCTGAATAGACAACGAATCATCCCAAATTAAGGAGGTGGACTCTGAGAGCAAGATTTATGCTGTATAGCTTTGCTTCCACCATTTGTCCTAGGGTTCTATCCGTCTGTTTTTTTTTTTTCTTAATAATTTTTTTCATTTTAATAACTTTATTATATTTTATCTTACTTTATTTTATTATACTTTATCTTCTTTCTTTCTTTCTTTCCTTCCTTCCCTCCTTCCTTCCTTCCTTCCTCCCCCCTCCCTCCCTCCCTCCTTCCTTCCTTCCTTCCTTCCTTCCTCCCCCCTCCCTCCCTCCCTCCTTCCTT